CGCTGAGCGTCGAGGCACCGACTGATCCAAGAAGGGCGGGGGCTTGATCCGAGGCGGGCGGGTGGGGGGGAAGACGAACCACACACGATTGAAGCTGCTGCCAGGGCAAGAGTGTATCAAACGTAGAACTGACCGAAAGGCGTGGTGGGGGGGAGAGGGGGGGGGAGGGAAGAGAGGTAAGTTTCGAGCTGACGGCGTAAACAGGTACGGCAGCAACGGATGTGGGGAAGGAGGGGAAGTGGATTCGGCGCTGGGGCTTTGCTGCAGGGTGATGTCCCTCGACCCCATTCCCCCCCTTGTTCATGATCCGGATCTCTTAGATGGTGGGTTGGGTTTCCGCTTCTCCCCCTCGCCCCTTTTCCTCCCATTCGTCTTTCTGTTTCCCGCTTTCCGTTTTCCGTACACAAAAAGTCCAACCTCCCTCCTCTTAACCACGCACCACCTTACCTGGTCCGCAGATTCCAAAAAAGGAGAAGCGCCAGAGGCGGGGGCGGCACGTGAGTAACCCCCTGGATTTACCCGACGAGGTGGTGGAGGGGAACGGGCAACGCGATGATGCAGAGCTGGGGGAGGGAAGGATTGTTGACGGCGCTGCCGCGCTGCCGTACGGGTACGACAACGGCGAGAGCGAGCCGATGAACCCCTCGTCGCCAGCGGGGCGGCGGCGGCAACCGCCGCCTCCTCCTCCGCCGCCGCTACTGCGGCTGCGGCTGACTCGTATTCGCCGTCGCTTGCGGCGGATCTGGTTCCGGTTCCGTAAGCGTTACTTGCAGCCGTTACGGCGGAAGGACTTGCCGCGGTGGAGAGTCACGTGGGTGTCGTACGTGGGTGGAGAGCCCCGAGGAAATGGGGGTGGGGGGAGGGTGGGGGGTGGGAAAGTGGCCGGAGCGGAGGGCTAGAACAGAAGCATATCTGAACCCTAGAACCCTAAGGCCCCGGGAAAACGGTGTGATGGTGTCCAACACCGTCTCTGAGTTAAGGCGGGCCGTGTGGCCGCTGCGGACCCTGAAGGCGGGCGGTGATGGGGGGGGAAGGGGGGGAGGAAAACGGCCCGGCTGGGAAAGGAGGGAAGCTCGCCGGCACAGATGTCAGACTCCGAAATACGTATATATATACACACAGACTTGTATGGGTGGGTGGTGGGTGGTGGGTGGTGGGCGAATAAGGGGGTATCCCCCGGCCTTAACTAGAGCAGCATCAGCTACCCCCCCTCCAGAAGGACCCCCCTGGAGGGCTTTACGTCCCCCTCTGGCGCCAAACCCACCCCCCAACCCACCCCCCTCCCAAACAACCCACCCCCAACCCAACCCCCGTCCCGAACGAAGCACTCGGAAGAACCAACTCCACCCGGACGTTTGAAAGGCTCCACCTACCCGGTGTTTCGCCCCTGGTGTTGCCGTACAGATTCTGGGACTTGTCGTACAGCACGTGGTTCAACAATTTAATGATTGCGGTTATCATTGTGAACACCGTTGCGTTGGCCCTGGAGCATCCGGGGATGAGTACGACATTCGCCCGGGGTCTGGAGGTTGCGAATCTGGGTGAGGGGGCGCGGGGTGGTGAGGTGGGGTGGGGTAGGGGGGATAAGAGGGAGAGGGGTAAAATGGGCGGGGGGGCCCTATCTGTGTGTGTGTGTGTGTTGCAAAGTGAAGTCAAAAGCAGCAGCTGCCGACATTCAAAGAGGGGAGGACGTTGATGTAACCGAAGCTTGCCGTACGGCTTGTGGCGTGAGCATTATTTCAGTAACAAGGGCAATACCTTACACCTAGACTTATCCACACTACTCCTACTATCACCACTACACCTCCTCCTCTTACCACTACTACTACTACTAATACTACTCCTTTCCCCCCTCCCCGCCGACTGGTCAGTTGTCTGCTACCGTCCTGCACATCTGCCGCAGCACTCTTTCCTCCTGGCAGCATCTTCACTCGTTCGTGGTTCTCGTCTTTCCCCCTCCTCCCCACCCGGCAGTTCTGACCTCCCTCTTCTTGCTGGAGTTCGTGGTGAAGCACCTCGGGCTGGGGTTGGTGGGCTACTGGCGGCAGGGCTGGAACCTTCTAGACGGGGCCATAGTCATCAGCTCCGTTGTGGAATTGGGGCTTATGTACGGCACGTCCTCCTCGCCTCCTCCGGGGGCCCTGGCCTCGGATGACGGGGCTGGAGGGGCTGGAGGGGACGGCGATTCCAATACACAGGCTCTGCGTGCGTTCCGCCTGCTGCGTTTGCTGCGGTCTATGCGGCC